AATACACGATAACAAGTTTACCATCATTTTTACATAATCAACTAACAATGTTGTAAAGATGCAGGAAATGTCAAACAAACACTTTTACGTATCTTATTACTTAAATAATAAGGCTATTAACATGCCTAAGAATTAAATCTGAGGAAATCTGAGGAAATGAAAAAAAAAATGCATAACTTCTAAAATAATGCCCCGATTATGCTGATTTTCGAACTCAACCTGCGTTTTAGTAAGACTGACCATTCCTGTGAGTTTAATGACAATTGGGCTTTCTTTTTTTCTTATATTGTGTTTACAGTGTTGCATATATGCTGAACAACGAAAAAAACCGCATAACTACTAAAATAGTGGCCCAATCATGCTGATTTTCGAACTTGACCTGTGTTTTAGTAAGATTGATTACTCCTGTGAGTTTCATGACAACAGGCCTAACGGTTTTCCTTAAAATGTGTTTACAAGGTTGCATATATGCTGAAAAGTGAAAAAACAGTATAACTTCTACAATAATGGCCCGATCATGCTGATTTTCGAACTTGACCTGCGTTTTATGAATATTCATCAGCTCTGTAAATATACAGCCAAAAAGCAAAACTGCCTTCCACTTATCGTGTTTACAAGGAAAGTGCACGGCGACGGCATCGGCGACGACAGACACAGGTGATGGCAATATGTACAGACACATCTGTGTCTGTACATAAAAAAAGCATATTAACACTAGACATATTCCAGCTATTTCTCAACTACAAAAAGAAATTTAATTAATCCAACAAAAAGCAATTAGATATATCAAAACTGATATTATCTTTAATTTATTATTATCATTATTGCACCTTGTCTCAAAGTAAAATATATGACAGGGCTTCAGTGTGTTCACATGACTGCAAGTGTGCAATGAAAGACAGTAATTACAGAACTGCATCTCATTCTCCATACATCTAAGGGATCATTCACATTAAATCTATTAGTCTACCAATATACATGTAGGTAACTCTGCAGAGACTCTCGCTCACTGTAATCAGTTGAACAGATTAAGACTCTTCGTCTTGTTTCCAGCATACTCATGTAATCACCATCTTTTCTGTTTTCTACTCAACACCAAGAGGTGTGCTTGTTTATTAAACAACCTGCATTCAGCACGGGTACCCACAGAGTTGGATCGACCTAGGTAGATCCACAGTTTCAAGAGCCCTAAGCAAGGAAAAGGTATTGAGCACTTACCTTCAACTCTGGGAGAAGTCCCATGAAGCCATGAAGTGTTGGTAGACTTAATGCTGAAGAAGAATAGTAATGCAGTTCTAGTGCATGTATCTAGAGGCAACTCAATGTATTTTTTCTTTGACGTCACATCCTATAAACTTTGTTATATTAAAATGCAAAGTTGTAAACGTGTTTCAAATCAGTTAAAACTCTTTTAACACTTTTTATTTCAATTTAACATGAATGTAAAATAAAGTTTGATACAGTTTTCAATCTTGAATGACACCTAAAAAATGCAAACATACATTAAACACTGAACCATAAAGCAAAAAAAAAAAAAAAAAAAAAAAAACATCAATAAAATTACCAACAATATCTTAGCTGCTTATTTACCTACCTTGTCTCAGTCTTCCTAATAAAACATAGGCAATATTGTCCTTGAAGAGTCGAGATAATTTTGGCAACTGTCGGAAAGCTTGACATGCATCTAAAATGAGAAAATCAATCAAATCTCCACCTCCACTTGGACTGTCATTTTACATTGAATCTTAGGGTACATTTGCAATAGATATACCACACTGGCCAGTGCACACTAACTCCATGGGGACTCTCGCTGAATGCAATCAGATTAACATGCCTCCTCTTGTTTCTAACATACTTGTGTAAAATCACCAGCTTTTCTGTATTCTATTCAATACCATACCACAGCAAATAAAAGAAAAAAATAAGAGTTATATAAAACTAAAATGTGACACATGCAGTTCACATGATCAGGACTCTCAATTCTAAGTGTAGAAAGAACATTTAATGTAAAATTTTACCACAAGGTGTGTCCCTCACATAGTCTGTCACACTCATGGTCATGTCACAGGTGTCCCCATCCTCAGATATCAGACCTATAGAGCATATAGAACAGAAATGAATTCAAATTGTGGTATTTTTCATTAAATTCAACTAAAATTGATGTACTACCGCACACATCCCAAGAATTGTTTTGTTGATGTAATCTGAAAAAATAAGTTATATGGACAAACGGTGCTCTGACTGCTTCAAACTTAAACATGCAAGAACAAACAACCATCTAGTTTTGAAGTCTTAAATTTGAGCATCTTAAGTTATATATCTGGAAATAAAATCCAACAGTGTGTATTTGGTGCATAGATCCTGCATACAAGAACTGACCAACTGCACAGGTCCTGCAATCTAGAACCTACTACGTACATACATGTAGGCCCTATTATCTAAAACCTACCATGTATAGCAAGAGTGGACCCAAGAGTAACCCCCACTAACGTGCAGGTCAGTTCTGGACACGAGTGGTGTGAGTAGGTCAGTTTAAAGCTCCCACCAGCTGACCTCCAGCCTTTAGGCATGTGCTGAGACGTGTGTTGCTCTGAGCTGGAAGTGCTGGCATCGTCCATCTTGTCAGGGTCGTGCTGACTGCTGCCCTGTGGTGATATGGATAGTATGTATGGATTATAACTGGATAATCCAATAAAACACACACACACACACACACACACACACACACAGCAGAACACAACATTTGCATACCAGTACAATTACATGTATATGCTGGTTAAGTACATCAAATGTTGTCAATGTCACAAAAAGTTTCTTTATTAATTTCCAACATAAAAGCATCTACTAATGCAAAAGAGTTCTCCTTGAACACTGGCAATGGCTAAAAGTATTCTAGACTAAACAGAGCGTTGAGTTAATCTCATCAAAAAACATCCAAATCCAATAATTATATCTTACATGACCGACAGCTTGGAACCCAGTTTCCACCATTAACAAGTGAAGCACTACCCACAATGCCTCAGCCTTGCTGGTCACTTGCGCTGACTGGTAAGTGCTCTGTAACAGATGGGGGACGGCGCTGTCGGTGGAATCTCTAAATTAACAGAGCATCAATTAGCATTGACTAAAGGTAAATGAAAATATGTATACATGAAAAACTTTGTTTTAATTTTAACAGAAATTGCAATTGTACGGGTGTAGTAAAATATCCAATCCAATACCATACCATACCATACAATACAATCAGCACAGAACACAATCTTATATCCAAGAACACCAGGTCTGACATAAGTCACAAAACTCAATTTTGACAGATGGCATTATCATAAACATAACACTGAGTGATGATGAAAGCGGTGATAATCAATCAAAATAAAGAAAACACATCATCAATCAGACAATAATGGGTGACAGGGATTATGCGACTTTTGATGTCAACATAGAGGACGATGAAGTACATGTCATATATAATTACACAATTACAGATTTTTAATTTGGTACATTTGTCATTTTGCAGACCTCAACCAAAGTCAATAATAAGGCCTGTTGCAAGGGGCTTTTTTTTTGGGGGGGGAGGGGGGGAGAGGGGTCAAACATACCAAGATAAGATGTGCTCTGGGTAAAATTTATAGCTTATTACAAGACAGTTTTGTGGTAGAAGTCCACTTTTTCAGAAAAAAATAATAACCCCCCCTTTGAAAATGCTGCCTACAGGCTTGATAATTGTACACTTCCTTCCAGACACTACATGTAGTAACCAACCTGCAGTGGATGGGTTCCTTTAAATATCTATTGACCACATGCTCCTCTGACTGCCCAGTGTCCAGTAACTGTCCACCCGTGTCCATATCTTCTTCACAACCTCCCTGCCCAGGGGGCACAGGATCTGACCCCTGGGGGACGGCACTGGTCAGTTCACTATGTGAGGGTTTAAGTCTTTTATTCTGACCATCTGAGATTTCTTCAGTAGATGTATTACTGTGACTTGGCCTGGGCTCATGGTTGTGGGAGGCAGTGGAGCTACTTGATGGCTGGTTGAAGAAAATTAAGAGACGCTACATTATTTTAGTCAGCTTAATTATTTTTAGCATGGTTCATACAGCTGTAACAGTTAATTATCTATGTAGTGTAAGTATAAAAACAACACTGCTTCCAATCATGATCATTAAGCTCTAAGACCATGGATTTAATTGATTTTAAAAGAACAGAATCTAAGAATTGACTCTGAGCACATGTATTCTACTGTTCATGCAAAAATCAGCCTGTTATCAACACACATTACAACTACCATTACAAAAATTTCCTATAGTAATCCTACAAGACACTATGGGAATTTTATCAGACATCCTATAGAACTTATATCTGGTAAGTATGTCCTATAGAACCCTTGCTGTAGGATGTCCTATATAAAGTGGATTCTATTTGTGATGAATGAAAATAATCAGGCAAACATTTGATAGGCAAAATTTTTGTAAGAGTAAATAAGATACTGGGGTACTATTTCTTTCTGTGTACATACAGAGTATGTACTACCTGTTCAACTCTGCCATGGCCTGAAGAACCAGGTGCCCCAGTGTTCACACTGTCTGGTGGCTGGACACCCTCCCTCAGCAGCACTTTTATCAAGTCTCCCGACACTACACCCAGCTCTGTCAACTTCTTGTCATCACCATCTTCTATGGGATCTTTGCCATTCAAAGTCAGGAAAAAACTATCTCTGAAATATGTCAGCATGGAGGAACAGTTACAAGGTAAAACGGAAAGTTAAATTTAATGGCTAAAAGTACCTGAAAATTCGGGTACTTGTGCAGTATGCCAACACACACACACACACACACACACACACACACACACTGATGCGCCATCGACTGGGCTTAGCAAATTACACTTACTCCTGCAAGTTGAAAACTTCTCCAACGTCGTTCTTTAGAACTCCTAAAGTCGTGTCATTTTCTGGGCTGACTACAACTGTCCTTGATTGAAGGCGTACCCGCAATTTCATGCCAAACTGACGATTTTGTTTGCGATGATGAACGAAAGTGAAGACAAAATGCTCGCTAGGTAGCGCATTGCCAAGACAAGCCACATTGATCGCCGCGCTAGAACTAGTGGCAGTTTCTGCTCTTTGTAACGTCACAGACAGAGATTGAAATATTGGATTGCTAAAAATTCTTTTGTGTTAAATAAATCGAACAAGGATGTATTTAAGGACTATTTCAGGTCTAATTTAAATAAGCCAATACCACATAAATATAAGGAATATGTTTCTAAATTCAGACTGTCAACGCAGAAACTCGCCATAGAAAAGGGGTGAGAAAAAAATTCTTAAAATATGCATCCGAATTAAGATTAGCGTCACTTTGAGATTTTGCTATTTTTCTTTTAAATTTTATCATTTTGTGTGATATCCTATTATATCCTGTAATATTGTCTACCATTCAGATGAACTGTAGGACTGAAAGATTAATAAATTTTAAAATTAATTAAATAAAATTTTGCGACCAATTTTCAAAGTTGTGAATCCTACCTTCCCCACAGCTTTCAGGTAGGGCCTACATGTACTAGTACCTGTTGAAGGAAGCGGAAGCTAGGGAGGTGGAAGGGGGTATTTATACAATTTATAAATTTTACAAACTTTACAGAAGCAGCCTCGATCAGCCTGTGAAACCTACTCATTCATGGTACATTTATTTTAATAAACTTTATTTTTATTTTAATTTTAATAAATTTATTTATTATAATTAAAATTATTACCTTTAACTGTGTTGAACCTTTCCGTATCGGGAACGTCGTTAACCATGCACGTTTACGAACTCAGATAAACATAACTGACCGATGACTCAATAAAGGACACCTATAGATTGTCCTGTATGAGAGCCATTGCCAGAGACCTCTCACACAATAACCGGCGAATAAAGTCCACGTGTTGCCGAGTCAGATACAGCGGTCAGACAGATGGACAGCGTCTAGGTCGGCGTGGCCTTGGTCGCTGTAATTTAAAGTCAACGTGACATGCTGAATACAAATACTAAATAAAAACGAATCTTGAAAGTGCTTTCGATACATTTTTGCCAAAGTGTCCTTTTAAAATCCACCCTTTTTTCATTTATTCAAAATCCCACGTGGTTTATCATTTTGGTCTAATAATTCGACCATTTAGGTTTCAGGTCCGAAGCCGGAGGGGGGGGGGGGGGGGGCAGGTCGAAAGAACCCCTTTCTTTGATGGGAAATGGTCTACTCTGGGTAAATTTGATCTAAGTGAACTAAGGTTTCATTACAAAAGGCCCACATTTTCAGAAAAAGACCCCCCCCCCTTTTTACAATTGCTGGCTACGGGCCTGGGTCTGTATCCTGTAGCTAGGTCATTAAGACCCAGTTAATTAGACCAAGTGGCAGATATAGAGGGGGGTCAGGGGGGTCTTGACAGCCCCCTCCCCCCTGCGGTTTCTGAAAAATATATCTCACAATATTCCCCTCTTTAAAGTAGAATTTTTACTAGCTAAATTATAGTTCTAAATCGCACAAAAGGGCACTGTTTGCTCTCCAAAACACCAAAAAACAAAAAACAAAAACACACACACACACACACACACACACACCAAGGGGGATCGGCATCGCATCCGAGACCTGTCGTTCCTCCCCCCCCCCTTTCAAATAATCCTGGATCCGCCCCTGAGACCCAGACTTCTGGTACTAGCTGGACAGCTGCCAGACCCGCCGACTGACCAGACTGGTCAACAGCGGTCAAGGCCGTTACTGTTATCTTGTTATCTGTCACACGTTTTCCTGATCACACTTTGACTCCCGTTCGATCGGTCCCATCAAACTACATATCACCCTCCCTCACTATGTGGCTATATCGCCTAGAATGACAATATTCACTTTTATTTTAACATGTTGTGAACTTGTATGTCACAGAAGACATAAATTGCAATCAATCAAACACTCATTGATTTTTAAAACTGAAAAGAAAAACTTTTCCTTGGGCGGACAATTGCTTGTTTTTTGTTGTTTTTTTTTCCTTTCAATATTCTGAATTTTTGTCTTCTCTCCAAAATACCAATATCTATCAACGTTTCAGTTTACGACATGAAATTTTGATTTGGATGCTGTTATGGATGAGAGTGGGTGTTTTTATGGATGAGTCCGCACGAAGCCCCTCTCCACTACCCTTCGCGGGGCCCAGAGGGCAGTGTCCCGCCGGGGGTGGGGGGGGTGGGGGGGGTACGCTCGGGCCCCTTTCGTCTGCAGTTCTTTCGCGTGCACTAAGATGAAATGGAGTCCTAAAATTTTTAAGATTCGCAACCTTCGCACAAATTTTACAGTTGTGCTTTATTTCATAGCTCATCGCAATGCCGCAATCTCTGCTGTAGAGCTTGTAAATATTTTGATAAGACAACCCCTCCCAAATATACTGGAGGTCAATATTTATGTGTCGTTTGTCTTGTTATTCTGACCCTTGGTTAACGTGACAATCAAACTCGCACCCTAATCGATAGCTGCAGATTAGTTGCTTCTCAGGTGTTAATTTCACGTTAAGACTTAATTAAGTATTGTTCTGTGAGGTTCATACACGAAGAGAACCAAACCAAAATGAATCGGAGGTCAGATCCGAAAAATAAAAATCTGAATGAAGGGGGTAAAAGAAACGCAGTCATTTACATAATGCACAAGAGGAGACATGTTAAAATTAAAGCCATTTCACAAAATATAAATGTTACCAGCTAATGAATAGTCAGATAAATATTTGTGAATGTCTAGTGATAAAATAATCTCCGTGATCCTGGCCATTGGTGGAGGATGGGCTTTTGTCCACTAGGCTGTTCCGTCTGAATCCATAGCGAGAGCAAAGTCCTATAAACAATTTACGTCACATAGGTAACTTATTTAAGGTCCGTGTCAAACCACCGTTTGTGGTCATTGGTAAATTAATTGGTATGTGAAAAGGCTACACATCTGTTACGAGATTGCCCATACAGTGAAGAACGTGTAGGTAAATTAAAGTTCTTCCCATATTAAAATTAAGTTTGTGTTTTTACATTTTTTACATAAGTGCTTTTTCATGATATTTTTAAGTAACTCTAGCAGAACATAGCTACTGTACATAGACATATTTATAAGGCGCAGTGTCTACATTTTTTCTATAAAAGTGGTTTACAGGATGCTTATAAGTAACTCTATAGGAACATAGTTGCATACGTGTAGATATTTTAATAAGGTGGTATGTCAACATTTTTACAAAAATACTTTTACAAGATATCTATAATGAGTAACTTTAGAAGATGATTGTGTGATCAAGTTTCCGGCAGAAGTGACGCGCAGACGTGAATCATACGGATTTCCCTCCCTTCCGTATAAAAACCTCAAGGGCAATGTCGCGAGTAATACGGTCTTTAGCGCTACATTTGTTAATCTAATTATCGACACGGTGTGGTATTTTTGTGTTTACCTGTTAAAGACATGGGAAAGAATATTTTGTCACGGTTCGAAATTGGCCGAATATAATTGGCAGAATATAAAATGACTTATCAATAAGCCAACTGACAACCAAAGGCAACATTCAATAATATGTGATGCCCCAAATTATTTATAAACTTGAAATCAAGGTTTACTTATAGTCATAAGCCACACAATTAGCAACTGAATTCAATTAATTCCTGTACTGTTGCATATGTTTTTCACCTTGTAGGCCTATATGGTAACATAATATAATTGATAAATTACACTAAATGATGAATTATGCAAATGTATATTTCGCTGTTAAGTAGCTATTTAAAGATAAACAAGTTAGAATGGTGTGAAGTACAATAATAGTAAAAAAGCAAAAATCTGCTATAGTATAACACAGTGAGTCTATCATTTTCATCATTTTTACTAAAAAAAAACTTTTTAAAAACTCGGTAGTCTATTTCTATGAGATAAGAGAAAATACATGTAATATGGAAGTGCATTTTTAATGAAAGTGTATCACAGGTAGAAAGAATGGGTAATGTAATATGATTAAAATTTAACTTCGCACACCTGAGGACGTTCATGTCTGAGTACACGTTTTACCATGCGGCGGTGACAGCATCAGGGCAACATATCCCGTGAAATAGTTACACACAGGAGGGGCTGGCAGGAAACACGGGCTGCTTTCACATTTGGTCATGGTGGACCGAAAATTTGGCCGTATGTGTCAATACAAGAGACGGATTTCGTTCGCAATGAAACCATCGTACCAGGTTCTTCGATTTGAACCAACTCCGAGCGGACTTTCGCTAAATGCAATCAGATCAAAAGATTAACACGCCCCCTACTGGCGTTGAGTAGAAAGGAAAAAAANGTAATCTCCTTCTGTTATAACTCCTTGCTGGTACACACAACTAGCTAGTTTTGAAGTCTTAAATGTGGGCATCTTAACAAAATGATTATATATGTAGAAAGAAAATAAAACAGTGTATATTTGGTGCATAGATCCTGCATACAAAAACCGACCAAATGCACAGGTCCTATAATCTAGAACCTACCATGTACATACATGTAGGCTCTATTATCTAAAAACTACCATGTACCTGTACATAGATCATATACTTTAAAACTAACCACTTACATATGTACTGTAATCTAAAACCTACCATGTATAGCAAGAGTGGACCCAAGAGTCACCCCCACTAACGTGCAGGTCAGTTCTGGGCACGAGTGGTGTGAATAGGTCAGTTTAAAGCTCCCACCAGCTGACCTCCAGCCTTCAGGCATGTGCAGAGATGTGTGTCGCTCTGGGCTGGAAGTGGTGGCCTCGTCCATGTTGCTAGGGTCGTGCTGACTGCTGCCCTGTGGTGATATGGATAGTATGTATGGATTATAACTGGATAATCCAATAAAATACACACACCCAAACACACACATATGCACACATATACACACACAGCACAACACACATACACACACACATAAAACACATAAGCGTACAAAACACAACACAATCATGCACAACACATACTCATACACAAAACACATGAAGCACAACACAACACAACACCTGCACACATACAGAAACACACGTACATGTGT